TAATCCATAAACATCCTAGCAAGCGGTGACCGAGTCTTTACCTTACAGTCGTTGCGCACGAACTTCATTCCGTGTCCCGGATAAACCGGAGCCGAGCAGAAATAACACTTCTCGATGCGCATTTTGATCAATTATTATGATCTCACTCGCACATGTGCCGCTGCGCTGCGAACACGGGCGGAAAAGAGAACACGCGGTTCCGCTTCCGCCGCATGACGTCATCACGCACACCACAGGCTTTGCCGCCACCGAGCGGCGCGGAGAGTCATCCATCAAAAATAGTAATAACCAACTTCAACAAGTTATACAAGATTTTAAAATGAGTTACCAGGTAACGGGAAACGTTCTGGCAAAGTTATGAACAAAGGTAATAATATATACATTCATATTTATTAAAATAATTAATAAACAATTTAATAATTAAATAAATGAAAACATTTAATATTTACATAAATAATACATTTGTAAATTAAGTTAATATTTTAGTTATTGAAATAATTAATAATTTAGTTATTAAATAAATACATTTGGAATACATAAATAAATAAATCATATTTGTAAAGTATATAATTCAAGTTATTTAAATTATTAAAATCGTTAAGAAATATTTTAGTTATTAAATAAATAATTTTGTAATAACACACACACACACACACATATACATACACACACACACACACACACACAAGTATATAAATTAACAAATGTATTTTTTTATATTAAATGTATTACATTTTATACTAAATGTATTAAATATAATATTAGTCTACCTAAGTGACATCCCTGATTAAATCTCTGACAGTAAATTCATTGAGAATGTTTTTCTAGTGTATCACTAAAACTAAATGATTCATATCCGTGTGTGCAGTAAGTTCTGTGAAGGAAATCCAAGAGCCGAAGGAAAATATGTTTTGAGAAATATTTTATTACACCGCTTTTTGGCACGTAACGGAATCAAACATGCTCAACACGAGGGGCTTAAATAATAATACAAATGATAATAAATCAAATGGAAAGGAAATGTCCATTAAAGTTCCTGAGCGCTGTTTGAATTCAGACCCTCTGAAATATAAAGCTTGATATCTCTTTGGCACATTCACAGAGAAATGCGTTCGGATCTAGCAAACAACCGAAACATAAACACATGCACACATATGACCAGTTCAAAAGAATCATTAAAACAGCAAAGAAAAGCATTTCACACCCCTAATTCAAAGTCTTTGTGATCAGTTTTCAGGAGTAAGTTCACACTGGCATGTTCAACACAAGACTTGTCTCGGGTTTTCTGAAGGTTTATGCGGATGCGTGATGATGAAACCGCAGTCAAAACACACGCATCTTTACAAAAAAGCAAACCAATTACACAATGTCAAGTCTACACAGGGGCGACCGTATCGATCTTTGGTTTTTTATTCGTGTTCTGAAATTATGATTTCGTGCCGCTTCAATCGAAAGGGTTGTTTCGAAACTCTGATTATATTTTCCACAAATCACAATCACACTTCATACAAACACTCAGTCATTCTCATATCCGTCCGCTCGAAATCTCCCGTCTCCAACCCAATGAAAGAAGCAAACATCTCTTTGGATTCTAGCGTCCGTCACCAAACCTGTGCCACTACGATCTAAAATGGAAAAAGTAGCAAAGAAAAACCCAAAATCTGAGCGCTTTAACTAGAACGAACGAAAGCTTGGCTACACCAATGAACCTGAAGAAATGCACTTTCAAATATACAGGAATATATAGCATCTATCTTTGGAGGTTACAGCATTTTGGCATCGTTGTATAATTTCTCATTTCACTCTTTGCATCTAATATATTGCAAAACGATCCGTCGACATCTTATAAAGCTATTTTATTTTTTATCCTTTGGGTTATTTTGTTCACTTATTCACCTTCCTTACAAAAACAAGACACAGAAAGCATCCCTCATCCCTCAAAAATCCAAGATGTGGATGAGTTTGTTTGTTCTTTGGAACAGATTTGGAGAAATGTAGCATTGCATCACTCACTCACCAATGGAAGTGAATGGGTGCCGTCAGAATGAGAGTCCAAACAGCTGATAAAAACATCACAATAATCCACAAGTAATCCACACCACTCCAGTCTATCAGTTAACATCTGGAGAAGACAAAAGCTGAAACAAATCCAGCATTAAGATGTTTTTAACTTCTAATTGACGCTTACATCTAAAGTGCGAGTCCATAATTCATAATAATTCATCCAAATCCAGCCACAGATTTGTTTAGAGCTGTTTTGGACTGTGCAGATTTCTCTCCTGATTCAGACCACTTTTTCACTGGAGGAAGTGTTATTATAGACTCGTATTTTAGTTATAAACGTCTTAATGCTGGATTTGTTTCAGCTTTTGTCTTCTCCAGATGTTAACTGATAGACTGGAGTGCTGTGGATTACTTGTGGATTATTGTGATGTTTTTATCAGCTGTTTGGACTCTCATTCTGACGGCACCCATTCACTTGCAG